AGCCTAAATAGACTGACATTACTGGCATTACTCTGCATTGTATCACTGTAAAGCATTAAGAGACAGGTACATTACGATCAGGTAAAGTGCCTACAGTCTGTACCTCTCAGCTCCTGTAGTTTCCCTTTTGCTCTCCACCCAGCACCAACCAATCCATCAAAAGCAAAGGGATTAAACATCTGTCAAAGCGTGGCCATATCGCCCAGCAGGAAAAGACACAACTCCGCCATGATTTAGCTTCCTGTCCAACAGCCGAGACAAATGAGGGCGCTGGCTCCATAATAATGCACAGACTTAGATTTAAACAATATAAGAACATTTATAATAACAATATCAGCAAAAATACACCCCAATGGCCTTTCCTTGTGCAAAGACTAAACACAAGCTTCGTGGCAACTGTGTGTTTTCTGTTGTTGTCTCTACCTGTTTTTATATCGCTCATAAAAATGCAGCTTTAACTTAACCTAAAGGTGCACTGCGCAACTTTTTCAGTGGAGTTTCTGCTACCTGCTTGCCTCCATGGAGATGTTATTGCTTTCCCTGGAATTTTCCATGGCTCCTGTCTAGGATTTATTCATTACGGGTGTTTCTGTTACTCAAAAATACAATAATTCCTTTTATGAATGGGGCGACTCTTCACAGATCTGAGCTGTAATGAAGCGTAGTGCTGTAACCTGCTCGTCTCCCTCGTGATTGATAGGTTTAATCTGTACTGTGGAACATTCTTAGCCTGATTCATCAGCTGGTTTTACTTCGTTTCATTTCGTTGAAACCATCTGACCTTGTAGCCTTAGGTTTCGTTCACCCAACGGTAGGCAGGTACTTTTTTTCATTTATCAATCTTTTTTTCAATCGCTGCTATTTGGTCGTGACGTATGTAATGCGCCGCTAACAGGGTAAACTGGTATATTAAGCTTTTCCAAAATCCCGTAGGAAGAAGGGCAATAATGTCTTTTCCCTTGATAAAATTCACCAAACATTCTCTTTGTTCCGGCTTTAAATCCTCGATCTCAGGAATCGTTGACAACACTGAATTTATCACTCTTCACTGATTGGTTGGTGCCTGAACTTGCACTACCAGGGTTTTCGCGAACCGTCTACTGTATTTTGATTCCTGATCTAGTCGCTGGAGAGAAATTAAATTGAGTGGAGGCACTAGGTGGCGCCAACCTGGCCAGAACATTCTAGGAAAAGCAATAACATTTCCATTAGGGGTGTAAAAAAACATCGATTCAGTGACATATCGCGATACTTCATTGCGCGGTTCTTATATCGATTTTTTTAAAGTCATGGTTTTCATGAAAAAGTCACAAGTTCAATTTACTGTTCTCACAATTTAAAAATTAAATAAACTGTATTTCATTCAATTTTGTGTACTCAACCAAAATATTATACATAGTTATTGATAAGTCACAATATATCATCATTTGTTTTAGTATCAGGATATATCGGGATATACTGAATCATGACAGGCATATCGTGATGTGTATCGTATTATTACCAGATTCATAGGAATACCGGCTCGAACGTCCCCCTGGCTTGAAAGTCCCAGCTTGAACATCCCAATTTTCGGCGGTAACATCCCCCTCCTCATCATTAAATATATAATTCTGAATAATAATAATAAAAGAAAAAGTGATAATAATATTTCCTCACAGGATTTTAACAGATGAGATGTAGATTTCTTGTTGTTAATTAACTTGAGTAACTTGTGTCTTATTGTTTTCTACATTTTTATTGTCACATTGTCTTTGTGAATTCTGTTTCTGTACGACACTTTGGCCACCTGTATTTTAGTTTTTTAAATAATTTATAAATAAAGTTATGGTAAAACACAGTATGAAACAGAATGGGACAATGTTTGGCAGAATGACAGGCAGTCAAAAACGTTTGCCTGTTTGCAACTCTGAAATGGAACCAAAATTTTGTAAAGAAAGAAAAAAAAAGCGGCACATCAAACGAAGGAGAGGTGTCAAACTTGATCATGTCAAAGAAAGCAGTTTGGAAGTGTGTAAAAATAGAGACAATGGTGAGCTGAACAGATGCCATTATGATTACTTGGTTGCTTGCAAAAAGATAATTATTTATTATACGTCTTAATACAGAGGCAACTTAATAGGGATTATATTGCAACTTCTCACGCAAATACCTGACATCATAACAAATTTTGAAGCACAATGTATTGCTTTAGAGAGACATAACACAATAAAAAACATAATATCGAAGCAGCTTTATGCCTCTGATATAACAATAAAGCAGGATAATCCCAATAAAACCATTTTAAATAGGAACAAGGAACAAAATTAGCCATAGAAGTGACTTATTCGACTCTCCACAGCTTAAATCTTATCAAAAATCTCCCAAATTTTACAACAAAATGCACACATGATGCAAACTGAGCCCCAAAATACATTGTTTCAACTTAAAAACTACCACTGTGTGACATCGCAAGGTGGAGCAGAGCATTTTGAGCTTTGGAGATGTAGACAAACTAATAATAAATGGTTACTCAAAGGTGTGGATGAAACAAAATACAATTTCAAGTACGTTTTTGTGGAGGTAACAACATTATAACATGGCTTAAAGCTCACAGGAGTCAATTTTGCGTAATATAGAAAATCCATCCTAATTATTTGTCTGCGTCTTGCTGTTGGTTATTCTGCAGTTTATCACAAACCCTCCTCCATGCAGGTATCTCTCCACTTCTCTCTCTCTAATCAACTGTCCAGGCCATTTACATCGATCACAAACATGCATCCGCCCAGTCAGATCTGCTCAAATTTCCCCCAGCCTCTCTCATTTCATTCGTCAAACTCCCGTCTTTATGTGACCAGTTCTCCCCCAAACCAGCTCCTTTTTCCACACCACTTGACATTTCGACCCAGGCTACGGAGACTTCAGCTGGGTCTATATGTTTGCAGTGATTACACGCTTGGTTAACTCATTCACAAGCCAAACTCTATCTGTGACGCATGCCGGACACTCGCCCATGGTAATCCGTCTTCATTTTCAGGGAAAGCAGTTTGTTCCATAAAGGGGCCATATTACCCTATTTTCTGATCTGTTATAATGTTGTTTTCTTATCACAAAGATTGCGTTTTGTTTTGTTTTACCCACACATGTTTGATTCACCGTGCATTATTAGTCTGTCTACATCTCCAAACATGTGTGAATAAAACAAAACACAACTCCAGATATGTTTTTTCATGAGGTAATAACATTGTAACATGGCTTAAAGTTCACAAATTTGCATAGTATAGGACCTTTAAAACTGGTTAAAAAAAAAACTTCCGGACTCTAACCTTTCTAACTGGCAGCTGTGTCTGTTACATTAATGGACAAACTAGTTCAAGACTCAATGAGCTTCTTGTTTAAGCAAGATAATCAAGAGGAACTAGAGTACAGCTAGGGTTCATGTCTTTAAAAAATGTTAGACAAATGCTGAGAACATTACTCAGCAGATAAGGAAGTGGAAGCAATGAAAAATAACAAAAAATGTCTTCATGCTTTTGGGTTCACATTAAAATGAAAGATACAGGGCTAAATTTGCAATATATATCATATCAAACAAGATCCGTAACAAAAAGACTTTTAAACAACATCAGTTCATACTGGTAAATTGCTGAGTTATACTTTTAACTGACTAGAGTATTATGGTTTAATCCACTAAGCTGAAAAAAGGAGTTATTATTCTGATATTAAGAGTATTGTGGACATAAATTCTCAATGCATTTTGTTATTCTGCACAATAAAAAAACAGCTATTTGTTATTTGCATGTATGGGATTTCATATTGTGGACCCTGCATCAGGATATATGAAATCTTGGCAAAACTGAGCCCCATTTACAGAAACAAAAAAAGTGGAAGCAACCAAAGGACCACCAGAACCCTTTCATTTGACCATTTTGTATTGATTGAGTTACATCTGCGGCTGGTGGGGTCCAACTGATTATCTCAGGCCCAGACAGTGTTACTGCAGATACACCCCTGACAGGAGCCTCCTCCCTCTGCATCTCAGCTCAAACTTCTGTGATGGACACGGCAGGAGACCTGATAACAGCACTGACCCAAACACCAGTCTAAGTCCAGCATGATCCAAGTGTTTTCACTCATTACACAGATACAGGCTTTGTGCTGCTATAGATGTGTACATGTGTTTGCAGGAAACCACACTAAAGAAGGGCTGGTAAACTAAAACAGGCCTTTAGGAAGTAAGTTTATTTCTTAGAGTAAAGTTGCATCAGTGATACCACTATGACCTCAGCCTCACACCAGACATGTGGCAGCCTTTAAATGAAAGCTTATGGGAGGAAACAAGTGAGGAAACAGCAAGTGCCAAATCCAGTACAACTCAATAAACCAAGCAGTCTGAAAATTATTATTATTATAAAAATAAACTTCATGGAGCATGTAATCCAAATGCTTCATGTTAGAATGAGAGCTAACGCTGGTTTTGGAATAGCGGCAAGTGAAGGTGCACCTTGCACAGGAAATAAACTAAACTCCAGTAGAGCCGCGTTAGCACACTGGGCTGCTAATGTTAGCCCATTTGCTGTGATAATCATTCCTATAAATAAGGTCCTCGTTCAGCGAAATGGCCTTTACAAAGATCCTCTCGTGGCCATATGTGGCCGCTGCCAAAACTGTCCAGCGAGCCGAGCAAAACAGACGAGCCTAAAAAGAGGCTGGCCCCGGGAACATTCGGCTGCGTTACGGCTCCAGGGATGAAACAGAGACACTGTGGGTCTATGGGCTACAGGGTTAGCCCCGTGCGGCTAGGCTAAGCTAAGCACCATGCTACCCGCGGAAAGCTTCATAAATATGTTCAAGAGTGAAATTGACAACGATCAGCACGACAGTGTCACAGTTACACGCAGGTGGTGGCGCTGATAAAGATTGAGCCTGTGCTGTGCACGGAGCTTTAAAACAGTGCGTAATGGACATGTCATTGGAGAGTTGTTGTGAGCTAACAGAGCTCAGGAGAAGCTGTCGGTACTCACCCCATCAGCCAATCCATGGTGTTGTGATGAGTTAGCGGAGCTAACGCTAGCTGGCAGGGAATAAATCCACCAGGAGCTGGAGGAGACCCTCTGGTTTATCCGGCACCAGCCTCGCGGTCCTGGCTGCCTGCCCCGGAGTCCCGTTCCTCTCCCCGGGCCGTTTCCGTCCCTCCGCCGGGGTCCTGGCCGGGTCACTACCAGTGGCACTTAAACTTTGCACGGATGCCCTTGTTTTGATCCCCTGTTAGCTCGGAACATGAAGTGTCAGTAATACATACAGTTCAGTGGAGTGTGTGGACGCGGGAGCAGAGCATTCAGTGTGTTTGAAGCCCAGAGACACGCGGAGGAGAGCGGGACAGGCGCGCACAGACAGTCCAGTGTGGAGCGAGGCGCCGAGGAGCTCTGTACTCCTGAGGTGCCGCGGTTCAGTTTGGTCACCTCTGTCATGTAGCTTTGTATAGCCTCTGTGCTAACTGTCAGCCTAAACCCCACCACAGCTTCTCCTCTCTGAGCGAAATCCAAATCAGAGTCCGGAAGTAAACACAGACCCGACCCACCGTCCCCTCTGTGCGTAAAATTGCGTGACACGCAGCGCGCAGCTCAGGCTTTGCAGTGGGAGATGTAGTTATTTGCGGTCGAAAATGTTAATGGTGATGTTATTGCAATTTAATCTGCATTTTATAGGTACAATAGAACAGATCGCATAATAAATCACAACGAATACATTCTAGAAATCAAAGTGGCACCTCCATTCAACCAGAACTCTCTATAGAAGCACAGGGGTTGTAGTCTGTACGTGCAAAATGAAAAGTGCTGTGGATAATCTGCTTTGTGCCACTGTCTGTGCGCAGCTCGGTAGTCTTGTTGGCAGCGATGGCAGAAGAAGCCCCGGATCGCTGGATTTATGACTCAGGGCAGCACCTTACTCAGCGAAGTTCATAGTGCCCAGACACAATACAGTTGGTTTTATTGGAGTTTATAGTCTACAGTCTGTCTCAAGCCATTTCTCTGTTCTGTCAGACTGTATTGGCCACGGGATCCCTGGGGCTGTAGATGTTCTTTTTTTCTTACGTGCAATTGGTAGGGAGTATAAAGTGTGTATTATTATTATTATTATTATTATTATTATTATTATTATTATTATTATAGCGCTGTATTGTTTCTTTTTAATTAGAAAATGGTAAGTGGAGCATTAGAGGTATTTGCATATGAAATAGGCAGATTAGATGATCAGTGTTTTGTCTTTTTGCGCACGCTTTTATACGCATAGTGACCTCTGCACATCATCATCATTCCCCTTAAACCCGTCACCTCTGGCGGTCTGCTCCTCCACTCTCGAGTCTTCTATAAATAACGGTGGCATTGACGCGACATGGGGCCAAGGAAAATTGGGAGCCCTGTTAACAGCAGGCAAAGCTGTGTGATTGGTTCAGTAACACCTCTGCGCACTGCTGATCACCAATCAGATGAACAAGAGGCGGGGCTAGTGATAAAATCGTCCAACAAAGAGTGACACCAGTAAACACCACACCGGGGCGCTGTGGGATCTCAATAAACTAGAAGCACCTGTGTCAGACATCTCCAGAAGGTCAGTTCTCACATTAAATAACCATGGATGAAAACAATCGATTAACATGTTTTCTAGTTTTAACCATCTATCGTTGAAATATAGACTACATGATCAAAATCTGGATTGACAAAAAAAGTAAAAAAAAAGATCAGTTAAAAGAACAATTAAACACTGTCTCTTTGTTAGACAGTTTAACCCAGGGGTGTCAAACTCAAATTCACAGAGGCCAAAATTAAAAACTGGGACCAAGTCATGGGTCAAACTAAATATTTATTGAAAATTTTCAACAACATCTGCATGTTTTCTCTTCTTTCGAGATATGTAATGTTAAACCTTTTCTTATTAAAATAAATGTTTAATAATAGTTTTGCTTAAACAGAACAGGCATAATATAAAATAATAACAAAATTTTAAATAAATGATGTCTTTATAGTCTATTTGTAGTCGGCGGGTCACCTCTAATACATATTTGATATGATCTCGCTGGACAAATATAATTATATCATGGGCCAAATTTGGCCCCCAGGCCTGAGTTTGACATGTCTGGTTTAACCCAAGAATTTTAGAAGTCAGTTCCCTTTAAACGTTCCCTCTTAAAGGTAAACAATGGTTATGTCGATTATATTTCTATAGATTATTTAATAATAACAATAATGCAATAGCGCTTTTTCTGGACACTCAAAGATGCTTTACAGAGCATTATTCGTTCACTCCACACTTGGTGGTGGTAAACTTCTATTGTAGCCACGGCTGCCCTGGGCCAGACTGACAGAAGCAAGGCTGCCAATCTGCACCATCGGCCATATTTATTTCACTCAATTTTAAATCCTGTGAGTAGATAATTTGACATAATTGAGAAAATATAAAATAATATAAGTGATAACACAATTATATGTCACTTATATTATTTTATTTTATTTTCTTCTCACAGGAAAGTAGAGTGAAATATAATCAACATAACCTTTGTTTACCCTTTTTACCATGCAAAACATTACAGGGAACATATTACACTATTTTTTGATCTATGTTATAATGTTTCCTGATCACAAACATGTCTGGAGTTTTATTTTGTTGCGATCACAAGTTCAAGGCACAAACCCTGCATATTTAGGCTGAGTTCTTCTCTCAGTTGACCTTGTGATGTCATGTGGTAATACTGGAAGAGCCACACTATGTTTTTAAACTCCAAACACCTTCACTTGAATCATTTGGATGATTTCAGCTCTGGAGTTTCCAATCTCCGCTGAACAAAAGGTGACATAACAAGGTGGAGCAGAGCATTTTGAGGTCTGGAGACATAGTAATAATGCAGTACTCAAGCATGTGTGAATGAAACAAAACAAAACACAACTCTATGTAAGTTTTTGATGAAGGAAAAACTTTATAACATGACTTAAATACTTTACAGAGCCAGAAGATTTTTGTAGCCTTTTTAAACACATCATAAATATCAGACTTGTGCTTTCTGACAAGTTCTGCTTCAGTTTTTATTATAAAGGTTACACGGACAACTGCCCTAAAAGCTTTCAGCAGTGTTTTTCCATATTCAGCAGTAACTCTCTTCAGACCATAACTTGTGCGCATGACCTCACAGGAGTCCGGTAAACATTCATGAAGAGCAGCTCATCTTCTGTCATCGTCTGTGTTGTTGTGGACGGGCTGGTGCCAGTGATGAGCGTTGGGGGAAAACCAAGCGGGACTCTGGTCAGGTGATCGTCTGAGTTAGCCAAGGTCACTTCCTGAAATCCATCCGTCCATCAATACAGCAGGGGGGTCAATACCATCTCATTCCACTGCAGAGTCCCAGAGATCCCACAATGCACTGCAGTAAGTATGGCTGTCTGTGAGCAATCAAGCAAAGGCTAAAAACAACATGGAACTCAATACAGGCTTCTATTAAAGGGTCCATATTACACTAAATTGACTCTTCTGAGGATTGAGTTATGTTATAATGCTGTTACCTCCCCAAACACAGTCTCTGTACCATTCGCTCTTTTGAATTTCAATTAAGAATGAAAAACAATAAAATGGGAAAACAGTTTGTTATTTAAATATTCTGTTATAGTGTCAAACAAAAAAACAGATTTTGACCTCTATTTCCAATATTTAAATTAAAGTTTATTTCAAATAATCCCCGCTAACCCTTAGTCAAGCTGGCGCCACCTAGTGCCTCTGCTCAATTTCATTTCTCTCCAGCGACTAGGTCAGGAATCAGAATACACTAGACGATTTGCAAGAACCCCGGAAGTTGTAGACCGCGCACCGACCGGTCAGTGAAGAGCTGTGAAGCCATGACGTTAAACTCAAGCAACTGTCTGGGTCCCTTTTGTGGAACAGCACAACAGTAAACAAAGCGGTCGAGATGGACGTAGCCGAAGACATACATTCTGTGTTGGCAATGATTCCCGAGATCGAGGATTTAAAACTGGAACAAAGAGAATGTTTTGGTGAGTTTTATCCAGGGGAAAGACGTTATTGCCCTTCTTCTTACGGGATTTGGCACATTACATACATCACAACCAAATAGCAGCGATTGGTTACATAAAAAAGTACCCGCCTACTGTCGAGCGAATGAATCCTGATGCTGCGAGGTCAAACAGTTTCCACAAAGTGAAACCAACTGATGAAACAGGCTACCTAACACTAACCCTACCCTAAAAAAAAAAAAAAACTGTCTCTGTTGCTGTTTTAATTTAGATATTTTATTCTCTTCTAACTTCCAGGGCAAATAAACCAGGTAAAATAATATATCAAAATTGAAATATGCAATTTTATGATTGGTGTTATTTGAAATAAACTTTCAATGAAATATTAGAAATAGAGGTCAAAATCAGTTTTTTTGTTTGACACTGAAACAAAATAATGAAATAACAAACTGTTTTCCCATTTTATTGATTGAAATTCAAAAGAACAAATGGTACATGGACCAAACACATACCTGGACTTGTTTTGATTCATTCACACATGTTTGAGTAATCCTTTATTATTAGTCTTGTCTATAGGGCTGGGTATCATTAAGGAGTTGCCGATACGATACATACCTCGATACACAGGCCACGATACGATACATACCTCGATACAGTGCACTTTCGATTCTATATGATATATTTCAAAACGATTCGATACTGTTCAATAAAAAATAAAGGCTACATCATGGCTGTGATACTAAAAGTCTTTGTTAAACCATGTCTTGTGCAAAGTTCATATGAAACACAAACATTTTAATCATAAAAACAGTGAAAATGTCAAATGTGTCGCATAAATGAGTTTCCTTTCACTCCACAAGCAACAAAACTGTAGCTCTGTAACAAAATAATTTAGTAAAACACACGTGAAAATACTCTTGGTGAAATATCGATACAGTAGCCCACGATATCGATACTGTATCATCACATTAAACGATACGATATATCGATATTCAGATATTTTTGCACACCCCTACTTGTCTACATCTACGAAGCTCAAAATGCTCTGTTCCACCTTGTGATGTCATGAAGCAGCAGTTTTCAAGTTAACAGCTACTGTACTTTTTTACCTTTAATTCAGTAGAGATTGGCAATTCTAGGGCTGAAATTACCCAAGTGATTCTCGTGAAGGTGCATGGAGTTTAAAAACACAATGGAGCACTTCCTGTATTACCACATGACATCACAAGGTGGAACTATGATCTATAAACACAAGGAAATCCAGGCACTCTAAAGAAGTAACACTATAGTTAAAAGGCCTTTTATTTAAATGGTCAAAGCCAACATGTTTCACCCATGACTGGTTTTCATCAGGGCTTAGTTAGAACTGGCTATGATCTGTGTTTAAATGTTGTTTCCTGTTCACAAACATATCCAGAGTTGTGTTTTGTTTCATTCACACATGTTTGACACACAAATCTTGCAAATTTAGGCCAAGTTCTTCCCTCAAACAGAAAACACCTTGTGATGTCATGTGGTAATACAGGGAGTGTCTTACAAGTCTCTT